TTCTTCCATTCTGGGTCCAGGTTCCGGTTTCCCTACATCCAAGCTTTCTCCGGCTTGCAGTAAATAAACTTCTCAGTATGATTCTGTTTTGTATTTAGCTAGGGTCTTTGTATATAGCCCAGGCTGGCTCCAAGCTCTCCATCCTCCTCCTGGCCACTTAAATAGCTAAGATTACAGGCGTGCGTCACCACACCAGGCTTATTGTAACTCACGCTTACCCGTCTAGCTTTCCTCAGCTCTCCTCCAAAAGGCCTTTCCTAACCCGACCTAGAGCTGCCCCGCAGCCACGGGCTTTCAAGTCCCTACCCCCAACCTCACCCTGCCTCTTCCAGTCTTAGATCCAGGTTTCCTCTGGTGGAACATTCCAGACCTCAGTGTTAACGCCCGAAGCACAAGCTGCAAGGGGAAGGCCCGGAATGGCGGACCACTAGGACTGGCTGAGGACTCAGCACAAACACAGTCACGATGGGGCGTGCAAGACCCCAGGCTGCCGCAGCGCACACTATGAGCCCACGCGTGACCGTCAGACTGCATGAGTCAGCTTCCCCACCCCCACCCTGCCAGTGCGTTGCCTTGGTTACGGGACTAGCACCAAGGGGATGGGGGTGGGGCCGGAGGCGGGGCCTATGGGCGACCAGTAATCCAGGGTTCTCAACCTCAGCCCAGTTGCCATTTCATCCTCATTGGTGAGTTTGGAAAATAGGCTTCCTTTTCGGATTTGATCCCTTCTGGTTTGCTTTCCATATTACATAATAGTACTTGTTTTTAATTGTTAATATATATAAACATACAAACACATCCTGCTGAGTTCATTCAGTGTTGCTCCAATGTGTATGTTTTTAGGACTGACCACTTGGTGTTGAAAAGGCTGAGGAGGAGAACTGTCTCTGAGGAATACGGATTCTCTCTCAGCACCCATTAATTGCCTTCAGCTCTTCATCTAGGGGAGGGTGGGGCCTGGTGAGACTTTCCGCCTCCTCCTTGGCATGTCAGCTGGTGTCATTGTTCAGGCCTTGTTTAGGCAACCATATTGCTGAAATTTCACTGGTGCAGCATCTCTGTCCCATAAAGAAGTCTCTCAGGAGGCATTCTAGTCTCCCCCCACCCACACACACCACCCCATTTCACTAGCACTTGAGTTCTGACAAGGCTGAAGCTCAATGAATCTGAACCTTCTGTACAAATCTGTAAAAACTGGAATAATCTATTCTGAGAATAAAAGGTTTAGTTTTATAGCAGACATTGCGTATGAACTCAACAGGGGTCTGGTTAAATAGGGCAGAGCGTGGTCAGCTTGTCAGATGGAAACGGAACAGTGTTCCAGTGAGCCGAGGGCAGGCTTCCTCTGTGTGGCTAGATGGGTTTTGCTTTTTCAGTTAGGTTGTATCACGCTAAGGTACCTTGTCTCCGTACAACAGGACCCATCGGAAGGCAGCACGACCACTTCATTTGTCACCCAAGCAGAGAATATGGAAGAAACTGTGTCTAGCACTTGGAAGGCAGCGGAAGGTGGATCTCTGAGTTCGAGGGCAGCCTGGTCTACAGAGCAAGTTTCAGGACAGCCAGGGTTACAAAGAGAAACCCTGTCTTGAAAAACAACCAAAAGAAAAAAAAAAAACCAGTCTGGAAGAAAAGCTGGCTTCCTAAACTAGGGCCAATAGTGTGTGATTTAAATATATACAAACATGGCTTGCTTAGCCTGCTTTTTTACAGAACCCAGGACCACCTGCCCAGGGATGGCACCACTATAACGGGCTACCCCACACTCCACATCAATAACTAATTAAGAAAATGCCTTACAGCCAGATCTTACGGTGGCATTATCTCAATAAAGGCTCCTTCCTTTCACATAACTCTAGCTCTTGGGTCAAGTTGACACAAGGCTAGACAGCACAGTGTATCTATGCCACATTCACGTGGAGTTCGGAAGGAATCCTCAAATCCCCTGGAACTGCAACTTAAGGACATTTGTGGGCTTCCGGGCGGGTGTGAGACCCCGAGCTGGGTCCTCTGCAGGAGCAGCCAGTGCTCTTAGCTGCCGAGGCATTTCAGCAGGCTCACATTAGAATTTTTAAAAGTTAAAATTAGCCGTGTGTGACTCATACCCTTAGGGTCCTAGCATTTGAAAGTAGAGCTAAGAGGAACAGGAATTCAACGCCAGCACTTTGCTATAGAGCCAGTCCTGTCCTAGGATGGGCTACGAGAGACCATTTCAAACCCATCCAAACAACAATAACTACAACAATAACAACGTTAAAATCAGGCTGGGCACAGGGGACACATCTTAGATGCCAACGCTCAGGAGGCAAAGGCAGACTGATAGTGTGAGTTTTGAGTTCAACCTGATCTACATAGGGAATTCTAGGCCAGCAGAGGTTACAGAGCCTCTCTCTCTCTCTCTCTCTCTCTCTCTCTCTCTCTCTCTCTCTGTCTCTCTCTCTCTCTCTCTGTCTCTGTCTCTCTCTCTCTCTCTCTCTCTCTCTCTCTCGTTTAAATTACCTGTAGCATTATGGGATTTTTGAACTGTTATCAATAAACATTCGAGGAGGTCAAACTTCAGTGGCAACCTCTCCATGATAATGCAGCTAGTGACCTAACTTCACTCAAAACTAACCCTTAAAGCCCACGCCCACTAGAGAACGTGCTCACTAGTAGTCCCATTACTCAGGAGGCTGAAGCAGGAGGATGACTGGCTACCACAATCTCAATCCCTGCGTTCTCCTGACCGGGAGCAGTACAAGGCCTCTTACTAATCTTAGGGCCTGAGGAATGACTTGCTCAGACAAGCCCAAAGGTCTCCAGTGGAGAAGTCTCCACACACACAGAATCCAAGGTGATTACGTCATCAAAGGGTTAATTCTAGGCTGGGATGGGGGGGCAGGCGGGGCACACAGCTGTCAGGAGGCTTCGGAAAAATAAGCTGCTGAAGAGTCCGACGCTGAGGAGTCCTGGGAGGGGGACAAGAGGTTACCCACCCAGAGTGTGCTCCACAAAGCATGCGCGCTTGTCCACATCTGGAGTCGTCACATATTTTTAGCCTGGATTCTTTGCAGCCGGTGGGTTCTCACTGCGGGAAGTGGTGTGGCGGGCGTGGTCCGGGAGGTGACGATAGGGTTAATTGTCTACAGAGCCCAGGGGCGGAGCGCGAGCGGGCCCTGCAGCCCCGCTGGAGCCGGAAGCAGTTGCTGGTCAGGGGCGCTTCTAGCCTTCCATATCTGTACTTCCACAGAGGTCTCTGCGGGTTAGGGGGAGCCCAGTGAGGTGCGGGGTAGGGGTCGGGCGTTAGAGACCGCAAGGGGACGGTCCACAGTAAGGTCCGAGGGAGAGAACTCGTGAGAAACTTGGGGGGTGCGATGCAGATGGAGTGAAAGCAGTGTGATAGACCTGGGAGGGTTGGGGGACCAAGGGAAGACCAGGCTGGTTGGCATACACCGGTGAACGGATGGGAGCCCTAGGGAAAGAAGCTGCTCCTAACAGTCCTTTCTTTCTCCACACCACTCCAGGGGACGATCCGGAGCTCAACTTTCAAAAGAGAGACGCCCCAACAAGCCTGTTTTGAGTTCTTAAGCTGCTCACCTCATGGGCCAGACGGCCCTGGCAAGGGGCAGCAGCAGCACCCCTACCTCGCAGGCTCTGTACTCTGACTTCTCTCCTCCTGAGGGCTTGGAGGAGCTCCTGTCTGCTTCCCCTCCTGACCTAGGGGCCCAACAACACCACGGCTGGAACCCCAAGGATTGCTCCGAGAACATCGATGTTAAGGAAGGGGGTCTGTGCTTTGAGCGGCGCCCTGTGGCCCAGAGCACTGATGGGGTCCGGGGAAAGCAGGGCTATTCGAGAGGTCTGCATGCCTGGGAGATCAGCTGGCCCCTGGAGCAAAGGGGCACACACGCCATGGTGGGCGTGGCCACCGCCCTCGCTCCACTGCAGGCTGACCACTATGCGGCGCTTTTGGGCAGCAACAGCGAGTCCTGGGGCTGGGATATTGGGCGGGGAAAATTGTATCATCAGAGTAAGGGCCTCGAGGCCCCCCAGTATCCAGCCGGACCTCAGGGTGAGCAGCTAGTGGTGCCAGAGAGACTGTTGGTGATTCTGGACATGGAGGAGGGGACTCTGGGTTACTCTATCGGGGGCACGTACCTGGGACCAGCCTTCCGTGGATTGAAGGGCAGGACCCTCTATCCTTCTGTAAGTGCTGTTTGGGGCCAGTGCCAGGTCCGCATCCGCTACATGGGCGAAAGAAGAGGTGAGATCTGGACTAGGTGTGGGGTGGGAGAGGGTTACCACCACACTTGGCAATGGTTTGGGGTGGAAACTCATAGTTGGAGCACAGGAAGCGGGGGCTTCGTGTCACTTTGGCCTGTCACTTAGCTGGCTTTGGCTCTAGCTTCACTCCCAAACCCTACTGCATGTGTGATGCACAAATTCAGAGCCTTTGGGTGTCCCTCGGCTAAGGAGGAAATGGAGGAAGAAGTAAGGGAGTCTTAGCAGGACCTTAGAGTTCGAGGATGTCTTGCTGGAGTTGCTTACTTACTGTGCCTTCCTTCTCTCTCCTCTCAGCCGAGGAACCACAATCCCTTCTACACCTGAGCCGCCTGTGTGTGTGCCATGCTCTCGGGGACACCCGGCTGAGTCAAATATCCAGTCTGCCTTTGCCCCCTGCCATGAAGCGCTACCTGCTCTACAAATGACCCTGTAGCACCGGGTGTGCTGGCACCCTACCGTGGGCACGGGTTGAAAAGCACCAAGGCACCTCTACCCTAGACAACTTAAAAGCTGGTGAAGCCGAGGGGAGGAGGCTGGACCCCTTCACCTCACCTTCACAGGAGCAAGACGGAAGTGATACCAAAGGCTGTGGCAGCCTGGGACAAAAGAGGTTTTTGAAGTAAAAAATGATATGTATTGTCATAGAACATGTCTCAGTTTTTTTTATACACATCCCCACCCACCCCCCAGGCTAGAATCCTATTACTATCTTAAGAAATTATGACAGACCACAAAGCTTAGGCCCAGGTGTTTATTTCCCTTACATGATGGTTCACAAACACAATACAAGGGGTTCGGCACTGTGGGGGAGGGAGTATCCCAGGCCTCTGAGAGAAAGAGGATCTTGGCCTTAATGTATACTGAAATTCAGACCCGAAGGCTTGAATTTCTGCGTGACATATCCAATAGGGCTTGGGAGTGAAGCCAGAGCCAAGGCCATCTAAGTGACAGGCCAAAGTGACACGAAGCCCACTTCTGTGTTCCAGCCATGACTTTCCATCCCAAACTAATGGAAGGTGATTTCACATGTTAGAGCCCAAAGGGACAGTCAGTTCTACTCCTTCCACTCCCCAGGGAGCCACCTTGGTGACATATTTGATTCTACCCATTGTAAGTGGTAAAGGGATTGGCCTGGTCCCAACCATTATGGGGAGGTGTAAAAGGCTCAGGAAGGTACACTGTGGGTGAGGCCACAAGATGGGGCAGATGATGTCATCTCAAGCAGGTGACTGGTGGGAGCAGTTACTAAACTTCTGGGCAACCTAGTCCAGGCTATGCAGGCAGTAGAGGGATGGGCAGTGCTCATTGTTTGGCGTTGATGATGTCCACAAATTCAGGCTTGAGAGATGCACCGCCCACGAGGAAGCCATCCACGTCAGGCTGGCAAGCCAGCTCTTTGCATGTTGCTCCAGTCACAGAACCTGTAGCAGGAACAAGAAGACAGCTCGGTCCCTCTGTGCAAGGCAGCCTCAGTCTATCTTAGCCCATTTTCACCTTGGCTGGAGCCAAAGCCACTCACCTCCATAAATGATCCGGGTGCACTGAGCCACCCCCTCAGAGACGTTGGATTTCAGCCATGCCCGGAGCTTCTCATGTACTTCCTGGGCCTAGGAGGAGGCAGAGTGAGTTAGCTCCTTCCTGTCATCCATTCAAAGAGTAAAAAACAGGCCGGGCCATGGTGGCGGCGCACGCCTTTAATCCCAGCTCTTGGGACGCAGATTTCTGAGTTCAAGGCCAGCCTGGTCTACAGAGTGAGTTCCAGGACAGCCAGGGCTACACAAGAGAAACCCTGTCTCGAAAAATCAAAAAAGCTAAAAAAAAAAAAAAAAAAAACCACACAAAAAAAGAGTAAAACCCACTGGTTCTCATATATTCTTTGGTCTCCAGAAAAATTTTGGGATTAAAGAATAGAAAGGCTCCAATCCCAGCAGGCTTGGAACCAACGTCTTCGGCAAAGTCACTCTCCTTGGTGAGTTTGGGGGCCCCTGTTCTACAGGGCCTGGCCCTTTGGATGGGCTCCAGAGTAGTCTAAGTCTATTCAAGTAAGATAGGCTGAAAGTAGAGCCCCTGGGTAGTTACCTGTTGGGGGGTTGCAGTCTTGCCAGTCCCAATGGCCCACACAGGTTCATAGGCCAGGACCACCTTGTTCCAGTCCTTCACATTATCTGTAGGGCAGAGAGCAGAGTGAACAGGAGGAGCTGACCTGCCAAGCCCTCTAGGTTATAACAGCTCTGGCCTACAGCTCCCAGTGGGCTTCCCCTCTTCCCTTGTAGCTCTTTGTTTGCTTATTTATTTAAGATTTATTCTTCCTGCATGTATCCTGCAGGCCAGAAGAGGGCACCAGATTTCATTATAGATGATTGGGAGTCACCATGTGGTTGCTGGGAATTGAACTGAGGACCTCCGGAAACACACACAAGTGCTCTTAACCTCTGAGACATCTTTCTAATCCCCCTTCCCCTTTAAAAAAAAAAACCAAGTGTGTATGTGTATGTATGTGTGTGTGTGTGTGTGTACAAGCCATGATACACATATGCAGCCAGAGGACAACTTGCAGAAGCTGGTTCTCTCCTATCACATGGCTTTGGAGGAATCAAACTCAGGTCCTCAGGCTTACCCACAGAGCCATTTTGCCAGCCCCTAGTGGCTTTTGAAGGTGGGGTTTGAGCCTTCTGTAGGAACAGAAGTGACAAGAACCAAGCAAGTCACCCTCTCCCCTGAGCTCAGTATGATCCAGGCAGGCTGTGGGACTTGTCACTCCCCCACTCCATCTCTGTGGCCTTTGCTAGACTCAGAGATCCATGTCTCCAGAGATACCTGCGATGACCTTGGTTTGCTCGAAAACCACCTTCTCAGTGATGCCAGCCTCCCTTTCGTCTAACTTCTCCCCGATGCAGGCGATCACTCCGAGGCCCTCTGCTAGGGCATGGTTCACTTTCTGCCCAATCAACTGTTGAGGAACAAACACTGGGTAAGATACCCCTCCTGGGATTAAAGCATCCCCTAGCTCCCCTCCTATTTACTGACCTCATCTGATTCCCCAAACACGTGCCTTCTTTCTGAGTGCCCCAGCACGACCCAGGTGGCTCCTAAGTCTTTGATCATGCCAGGGCTAAAACACACAAATAAACAAGCAAACAGATAAACACCAAAGTCCAGCAAGAAACCCACAAGGAAGGTAAGGTTTTCCCTGTGCATCCCTCTGGGCCTCCTCCTCACCTGATTTCCCCAGTGAAGGCCCCGTTGGTCACTTTGTAGCAGTTCTGTGCAGCCACAGCAATTTTGGGATCCAGCTTCTGCCTAGCAAAGTCGATGTAGGCAGTGGGCGGTGCACAAACCACCTCTGAGGATGAGATCAGAGACAGCCCTCACTGTTCAGGTTCCCGGTCTTGCATTCACTTCCTTGGTTCTACTTTCTTTAGTCTTTCAGTCCAGAAAACTGACCTTTGTCCACTCCACAGCCCAGGCTGGGCCTGTACCAATACCAGAGCCTTCCTAATGCCTGCCTGATAGGCCATGGCCCTTACCCTGCCCTCTGCTCTTTTAACAGCTGTGGCTCTAATTTCCTCAGGCTATTCTGGGAATGGGCATCTCCTAGACTCAGCATTCTCCAGGGGTAACCCTTTTCTAAAATAGCCCATCCCACACACATATCCATCCCGGTAAGGATTTTTAGCATAAGGAGAAGAGGTCAACCACGGGAATTTGTATTGGATTCTTTGGGAAATAGATGATCAGAGACTAATACACTTTGGTTATTCTCAAGGTTCTCTGCTTTAGGTGGGTGGAAGCGGTAAGGATGGAGGGAATTGACTGGCCCGCAGAGACCTTGTGTTTTCCTATTCCCAGTCTGAGAAGAGCTGTACTATTCTTTTTCATTCCCCAACGACTCAGCATGTCTGGCATCTACTCAGTGCCCAAGGTATAAGGCAAGAGTGGCCCATGCTGTGGAGGGTAGGGATGTGGAAGCCCCCAGTTCAGAGCCGAGGCATGCGGCGGCGCGGGGAGGAGCTTCGGGCTACGTGCAGAGACGCACGGAGCCAGAAGCCGAGGGGGCAGGTAGCTGAGAGCCCGCGTAAGCTCAGCTTCCTCCCTCACAATATGGGGCACACGTGCCACTTTCCTTGATTATCCAACCGGGCACTGGTTCTTCTTCTTGACCCTGAACCCTAGCTGGTGCAGCTCCCGTCCACTCTCAAGGGCGATCTTCTTTGCACCCTGCCCCCACTCCAAGAACCCCTTTCAGGCCCCACAGGCCCAGGGGAGCATTTAAATGCTTTTCCTCTTCAGCAAATCCATGTGCTGCCGGGACACCAAATGGCCCTTGTCCCCAGGCCACCATCCAGGTCCACTCAGACACTGAGCAGGTGGTGCCACGCCCGACCCTCCAACCCCACACCCCGCCGCCGCTTCCAAACGGACGGAGCTCACCGGTGTCTGCCGGCACTTTGGCTGCGTTCAGGGTACAGATGAGTTCTCCCAGGCACTTCTTCCTCCCGTTCATCTTCCAGTTGCCCCCCACGAAGAACTTCCTGGAAGGCGCCATTGCACTAAGCTCAAGTCTCTGAAGGTCAGTACAAATGTTCGGCTCTCGCCACTGGCCACTTATATAGATCGCTGTGAAGCAGAACTCCTCCTCCTTCTCCCCGCCCTCCGCCATGGTTAGCCCGGCCCCTTGCTGCTCCGCCTTCCCCTCCGTCCGCCTCTCCACCTCCCGATGTTTGGGTATTCTGACGTTTCTCGTTCCTTGTAGCAATGTTCTAGGAGTTTCCGGGGGCTCAAACGTCCGGCCTCAGTGGCTCGACAGTTGAGATGTTGAGCCTCGCGCTCAGGGAAGCAATCCTTTTGCGATTTCAGAAGACCAAAGGGCATTCCTTGTGGGGCTGGCAGCAAGAGGGCCTTGAACCCTGAGGTTGAGCGCCCCATTCCCTCATAGCATAAAGCAAAGCCAGATTGAGGAGCCCTTCCAGCAATCACAAGGGGCCAAGTGTTTCACAAACATCGCTGATGGTTATGGATCCTTGCAGTTGTCAGGCCTTGGCCAAATGGAGCAGAGTGGGATACTAGTGTGGGGGAGGGGAGGGAGGCAGAGTGGCTGCAGCTTTTGTAAAGCCCGTCCGCTGAAGTCAATAGACTGTCCACAGGGTGCTCTAGGTAAGCCATTTGTCCAGCAACAATGAGGCCAGCCCAAGTGCATGGCCAGTGGGCGTGGGGGAGGCGATGCAGTCACTCTTCGGAATTTTCCCTTTATTTCCCACCCCCCACCTCACAGTTTTCTGAGCATTTCTAGAGCTAGAGACAAGGGAATTGCCTGGGGGTGGTGGCAGGGCAAAGGACCCCAGTTGGACCTCTCTGAACCCGCCCCTTGCAGTAATCCTCCCCAGAACAGGTAGGTCTCCCCCAAAGAACTAACACCAGTCCGCTGTGGTACTTTTATTCCCATCATGTATTTTGGCATTTTTCCAGAGGACCATAAGACAAAACGGGAGGCTGAGGCAGAAGGGCAAAGGGTGTGGGGGAGGGTCCTATTTCCCTCGTAGCCACCTTTGCCCCACGACAAGGGAGCAAACACGTAGGGGGGAGGGGAGGCACAGTCGCTCCCTCCCCTGGAAAGATGCATAAAGCCACATCCACGCACACACAGGTAAGACCCCTCCCCATGGCAGGGGCTGGGCCATCACAGAAGCAGAGCACTGTGGGTTCAAGGGGCAGGGAAAGGAAGCAACAAGGTCCCACTGTGGACAGGCAGTTGGCCCCTTCCTGTCCTGTCCCTGCTCTATCCCCAAAGTCTAGTGAGTACCCCTCCTCTTTGTTTGGCCTTCTCCCATGGCCTCCAGCTCTTTCCTCCTGCTGGGGGCAAAAAGAAAAAGGGTACAGAGCAGGGGGCTGAAGTCCATCCCTCAGCCCCTGTCCCTCATGCCAGATGGCCTGTCCCCTGCCTGAAGGGTAGGGGTTGAGGGCAGGCTCTTAGCTGAGCACTCTCTGGTAGAAGTAGATGTAGCCCAGGTCCTTGGGCGGCTTTTCGGAGGCACACACTTTCTGGTCATTGTAGATCACCCATCTGCAAAGTGGAGAAAGGGACAGATGGATGAAACAGAGTGGACCGCCACACTGTATCACGTCCGCCTCTCAGGCATGGCCCCTGAGGAGCTTCTGGGAAGGATCCTGACTTAAGAGTCTATGCCTACATCCCAAATGGACCATCCAGCTAGTAGTCTGAGTGCAGCTTTGAAATCTCCTGAGGGTCATTTCCCCATTTGATATCCTCAGATTGTTCATCTAGAGACAGGGTCCCAACAAACCTGGCTATCCTGGTACCCTATGTAAACTAGGCTGGCCACAAACTCAGTTCTAGCTACTTCTGCCTCCCCAATGCTGGAATTAAATGTATGACTACATCCAGCCAGAATGTATTTGCTTGTTTCAGTTTTTGTTTTTTGAGACAAAGTTTCTTTATGTAGTCCTGGCTGTCCTGGAACTCACTCTGTAGACCAGGCTGGCCTCAAACTCATACATCCATCCGCCTACCTCTGCCTCCCAAGTGCTGGGATTAAAGGTGTGTGCCACCATGCCCAGCATGTATTTTCAAGAATAATTATTTATTTTGCACTAATAACCACTTGAACCATGGTGCTTATAAAGATCAGAGGAAGTTTTCTGGTTCTGGAAACCCAACTCAGGCTGTCAGGACTGGCAGGCAGCAGGTGCCGTTCCTCACTGGGGTCTTATTAGCCTAGACTGAATTTTACATTCATCTTCTATCCATTCCTGTGAAGCTGGGGGAGCCGGGGAGAGCACTATCTATCCTTTTTTTTTTTTTTTTTAAAGGATTTGTTTTTAAAGTAACAGAGAGAGTGAGTGTGTGTGTGTGATAGTGTGTGCATGCATCCTCAGACATGAGTGCAGGTGCCCATGAAGGCAGAAGGTGCCAGATCCCTGGAAGTAGTTAGGATGGTTATTAGCCTTCATTTGGGTGCTGGAAACTGAACTCTTCTGCAAAGAGTGGCAGGCAAGTGTTCTCAGCCAACAAGCATCTCTATAGCCCACCCCAGCCCCTTTAGAGACAGGTTTCACAGAGCACAGGATTGCTTAAAACTCATTCACCATGTAGCCAAAGCTGAGCTTCAGCTGCCGGCTCCCTTGCCTCCACCTCAGTGCTAGCACTGAAGCCACAAGCCACTACACACAGCCACTGACCACCATTTTCACCGAGTAATTAGTCTTTCCCACATTATTTAACTTCACTGCTGCCACAGGCAACCCATAGACAAGCAGGTGACTATGAACCAGTAAAACTCACTTACAAAAGCAGACAGCCTTAGCCCTGGGATGTATGTGGCTTGCCCATCCCTGTGGGGAGGCATTTGTTTTTATCTGACTTCTCCCACAAATACTGTAGGGCTTTCAGGCTGCCCTTCCCATTCCCACCAGCTCCTGTCCACTCACAGTGCACATTGCTAGCCCCTTACCTGCCCTCCTTCTTGATATGGCAGACATAGTGACCACACATAGTAGACGTGCCCATGTGACTAATGAAGGCAAAAAGCTGATACTCTGGGGAAGAGAAAGAGAAAGCAGAGGAGAAAACACAGGGACTCCTGTGTGACAGCATTTAACAGCTCAAACTCAAGACTCGAGTTTCAGGGAACATGGGCAAACGGCACATCTGCTCCTCAAATTCCACCCTCACAGGACCCATGAGAGAGACAGGGCTTCTGACTTCTTGGACTGAGAAACATACAGCACTAAAATGAAAGGTGGCACAGCAGACAGCCTCAGGTCTACCCTGATTCTTGGGGACACTCACTTCCAGGACCATCCCGGACTTTAGGTCCCACTGGCACAGACTCAGAGATGGAGTCAGCAGCTGAGCGTCCCTCTGAGATGTCCATAGCAGCCTCTGCATCTAGGTCATCGATGTGACTGAAGATCCAGTCGACAGCCCGCTCTAAGCTATTGTTCTTGGAGAGGAGGGAAGCGTTACTTTTCCTAAAGAGTCAGGCAGGCACACCAACACTGTGGCAACACAGTCACAAAAAGAGCAGCCAGTTTCAACCACACTGAACTGGTTCTTGGTACCACTAACCAAAGGTGTTGGTGTAACCTGACTCCCACCCCACCCCACTTTCCCCATGGGCTCTAAGTCCCATGAGGTAGTGCATACCGTGGCCCGCAGAGCTTTCAGGGCCTGGTCCCTTGAGAAGCCCATGGAAACAATGGTGGTCACACAGTCCTCTGGCGGGGGATCAGCCGCTGCACTTGTAGAGCCAGGCCCACTGGAGCCAGGCAGGATAAGGGGATTTGCAAAATCTGTGGGTGAGGAAGGCGTGAGTGTCTGGGGATGGATGGAGGCCCTGTCCCGTCTGCCGCCCACCTGCCTACCTGGATCATCCATGTGCGACATGACCCAGTTCATGGCTGCTTCGGCCCCACTGTTTCCTGTATAGTACACGGCTTTCCGGCAGGCATCCATAGGGAAGCCCATTTCCACCAACTGTATGATGACGGACTCATCCAGCATGGGTGCTGTGGTAGAATTAGCACGATGACTTCCTGCTACTGTCTCCACTGGTTTCTTAATCCTCCCACAAGCCGAGCCTCTAGCCTTTCACCAATCACCTAGTATGTGCTTTTTTCTTTCACAGATAATCGTTTTGTACCAGAACTAAAATAACCACAAGCAAAATGGGAACCTGGTATCCCATGGTGATCAGTTTTCTGCCATTCATGGCAATAACCCTTGAACTCCCCAACCCAAGCCAAGAAAATAATAAAGATAGAGAGGTGATTAGCCAGTGCTGCTGACACCCATATTAAGAATGCAGCTGGGAGTTTTTCAGTCAGTCTTCACATCCAACAAGGGAACAGAGGAAATTTTGAAGGGAGGACAGGAGACACATAAAGGAGGGGAAGGAAGTGGTACAGAGAAGCCCTCCCCCATTGGCAAGGGAGAGAGACAGGCAGGAAGAAGAAGCACTAACATGTCGGAGAGGAGAAGTGAGGGGAGCAGAAGGAGTCTTCGTCTTCGTTGCCATAGAAACCAAGGCTACCTTTGGGCTCATCCGGAGTGACCAGGGGTGGGGCAATGTCAGGCAGCTCCTCCTCTCCCGGCTGTAGCCCTGTGCCCCTCAACTGCGAGATATCTAGCTCCTCTGGCATCTCAATGGACACATCTGCAATTGGAATGGTGAAAAGCGTCACTTCAGCATTTCCTGATGCTTCCTGCTAAAGCACAGCAGACCCTCAAGCTCTTGTGCCATGTTTAGATCTGCACGGGAAATATGTGGAAGTGTAGGAGTCAAGGGACCTATACTCTAGTTCTAAATCTACCATGAGCGACAGACAGGCAAGGGGCCTCTACGGTCAGGGTGCTTTATACTTCTGAAGGTCTCAGTTTCCTTCTCCACAAAATCAAGATAAATTAGAAGTGTCACATTAGAGCCAGGAACCTGTAAGACCTGCTTCAAGGTTAACCCAATAAAAGCACTGTCATCAACTAGAAAAGTTATAACAATATAATCAGCCATGACTATCAAAATAGTTTTAGCCAGGTATCGTGGTACATGCCTTCAATCCCAGCATGTGAGAGGCAGAGGCAGGCAGATCTCTGTGTGAGGCCAACCTGATTTACATAGCAAGTGCCAGGTCAGCCAGAGCTACACAGTGAGACTCTGTCTCAAAAACAAAGAAAAACCCAAAACAGTTTTAATCAGTATCTTTTCAAACTAGATACATTTTGAAACATACACAAAATGCTTTCCTTTTCAGAGAAAAATCTGAGCAACACTAGTTGATACATGTTAAAACTATCTGTTTCTAGGACTTTCTTTACCACCACCCTCACCCCAAACCGCATACCCAGCTTCTTGGGCACCCAGTCTAAGCCAAAGGTGAACTTCTTGATCTGGATGACCAGGTAGTCAGGGAAGGAGGCAAACCGTGTGGTCCTGGAGAGAGAGAATGTGCTGGCACCCGAGCTCTCCTTTCTCTACACTGGGATTTGATCTCTCTTAGATAAAGTCCAGTGTCCCTGGAGACACTCCCCTCTTTTCTTGCCTGGGTAGAGATTAGGGGTATGTACAAGGAGCTGCAGAAGCCAGGTATTTGATTGGCAGGAGCAGCAATGGGCTGAGGACTTGATCCCTAAAACTGAAGCACCTCTTAGATCCCAAAACTATGCCAGAGGCCAATAGCAAGCTGCTTTCTAGAAGCCAGATTATGCTTTCAGCTGACACTAAGTGCATGGGCTCTAGCATAACAGAGAGGTCAAGTGCAGAGGCCATACTGGAAAAAGAGCTTGCACTACCAGAGAAGCGTCAGGAAAGGATAAGGTAAAAGATGAGGTCATCACCCATGTCTACCCCTGCTATAGCCTCCTGGTACCCTCGAGGACAAAACAAACCTTGAGGCTCAGGGGATAATTTTGAGATCTCCACCAAAAGGATGAGCAAACAGTCCAGAGACAGAATGTCTTTGGTGATTACCCCACCAAGGTAGCAGCTGAAACCCAGGCCAAAGGACCTACTTGACAGCGACAGACTTCGCCTGGAGAGCTGTACTCCAGAAGTCATCCACCTGCTCAGGGGCCCCATAGGCTTCCAGGCAGGAGCTAAAGGGCACCTGGGCCCGAACCAGCTCTGGCAGTGGTACTTTCTCCTCTTCGGCTTGCCGCTTCTTTTCTTCGTACTCTAGAAGCTCCTCTGGTGAAAATACCAGGCGGTGTAGTCTTAGAGGACACCCCTTGTTGTCTGCTCAACTTCGCCCACTGGCCTTGTGCCCTAAGTTATTCCCATTTCCCTACCCCCACCAAAGCCCACTAGACACGTGTCATGAACCTTGCCCCTCATCTCAACAGTGCTAACAAGCTGCAGGAAGGATTAACCCCAGCCCCACTGTGGTCCAGCTTCAGATCTGGGCTTGCACTCATACCAAGGCCTTGCTGAGCCAGCAAGCTACCTTTGTTAAGGGCTGCATCCATGGGCACAGGCAACTGCATGATGTAGTCAACTCGCTGAGTGTACTTAACCTTCTCTGTGGCCAGGCATTTGATCTTTTCTTCCACCAAGAAGCGGAACACTTCATTTGGATTTTCAGAACTCCGGCAATTCCTCTATGGGAAACAGGCAGGATAGGAAGGTCTGGACAGCCAGGGAACAAATCGAGGCTCAAAAATTTGTATTAGGGAACCAGTAGGGAATGGCAGTGGATTGGAGGATGTCATTCAGGAACACAGGGATGCAAGATAAGAGCAGAGGTCTTCCCTAATTAACCACTGTTGAACCGCACTTCTGGCCACTGTGATACTCTGTCTATATTTTTCTTTATAAGTACTAAGTATTCTCCTGTTGGGGATGAACCCAGAGATTTGTGCTTGCTGGCCAAGTGCTCTACCTCTATGCCCCACCTCCCAGCCCTCATAATGGTTTTGCTGTTCTAAGGTTAATTGGGTCTACCACAAGTAAGAGTCACAGGTAAAGATTATCACTTGTCTTGACTATTCTCCTCAGGTGCAACTACTATACACAGAACAGGCTAAGTGCAAACAGACTGCTCAAATACAGGGCCTGGGTGTGGGAGAGGAAGCAAGTGGGTGCAAACAGGAGAATCAACAGTGGCCTCTCTGACGACATCGTCCCATCCTTACCTCCACCATGTTGATAAGATGTAGGAAGAATTCCTGGGCATCCTGCTGCCGATTAGTGGAGAACTCAGGGTGGCCCTTGCCAATGAGGGCCTTGAACATTCGAGGGGCAATGCCATCTTGAACTTCCTAGGCAGGGCCAGGGCAGAGATTTAGTAGGCACCAAATGACCTAATTTAGACAACTCCTAGGTCTTAGTTTCTCTATATAATTCTACAGTCTGGAAAGGATAAAGCCCTAAACTCACCTTTTGTTCTGGTACCTGCTCTCCATCACCTGACTCCAGTGCTGGCTTAGAGTAGTCTCCAGAGAGAAGGCCATGCCCCAGCTTGGCCCTGTAGTAATAGTCAAAAACACCATTTAGCTAGTCAACTAATGATCCCAGAAGCTGCGTGCATCTTTGTCTCTTTCCTTCAATCCTGCTCATAATCCAACTTAGACATCTTAAAAATCTGTGTGTGGCTTCTGTAGGGATGGGGACATCTTAGGTTACATAGGAACTCAGCACAAAAGGCAGTCCACAGCTTCTAACTGTTCAGGGTCTCCACTCATGCCCACCCTAGGTGGTCATGGTATATAGGAAGGTAAAGAGCTGTGCGGCTCTCCACAGCGTTTGTAGGCTACATACACCTGGGTGCTGAAGTCTTGGGTAGGGTCCGCTGGGGCATTCTGGAAGATCTTCTCCAATTTATCCACATACCTAAGACGCAAAAGAAGAAGAGTAGCAGGAAAAAGGAAGAGATAAACCATCTACTCATCACATGAACACGCTTTCCCTAGAGTTCTAGTCCAGTTCTCTGCAGCCACCTGTCTATCCTCCCTTCTCCACTGAAGACAGCATGCAGTGTGCCTGAGGCACTCTTGCAGGCTTCTTTTCCAGGGCAGAACCAAGGGAAGGAGAAGGCAGCCCAGGGTTAGAATAAACACAACGCCTATTCTTTTGTTCGTTCCTGCTCTATTACTGGGAAGGGTGCGCTAAGGCAGCTTATAACCTGCTCCCTTCACAGCATGCCTGCCGTGGTACACAGAGCTATTCTAAGAATGCGAGCAGGCACACAGACGTGGAGGACAGCTGAAGGGCAGTATGCAGAGACTGTTGACCACAAGAGGAGCTAAGATGTTAAGAAGTATTTGGTTTCAGCCAACTAGTAACTCTCAGCCACTGTCTCCTTCCCTCTCCATCTCCTATGTTCTCATGGCCCTCCTTAAGTAATGCAAACATGCGGTAAACTAAACCCTACTTGGATTACACAGGTACACAGCACAGATCAGTAGAAAAGACAAGGGGTCACTCACTTCCTCTGAAAGTCAGGGATGCTGAAGAGCACCTGGACCACGGAGTTGAGGTAGCAGCTGTTACCCAGGTTCCGGATGCCCGTGTAACCAGGCCCAAACAGAGGCTTGAGTGGCACGCCTGACTCCTGGATCAGCTCCCACTCACCAATCCGCTGGTTCATGTCTATCTCCAGCTCAGTCATTGTCTTGTCCGTCTGCAGGGAAGGGGTACTTAAGAGTGGGCAAGAAGCTAAATCCTGAAGTTCCCCAGAGCCTAGGGCAAGACCCAGATATAGCCCAGGATTTATGGAATTAGGGGCCTGGGCATACTAAATATCACCTAGTCTTTAAGCTCTGGACTGAGAACCATTGTAGATCCAAGACTATACTTAAATGAGGAAGCGAAATGACCAAGCTCCTCCCTACCCAGAATGCTCTTTCCCACTCTGAAGTCATTCTACTCACCTTTAGACTATTACAGAAGAGCACTCATCCCTGGTCCCCTAGCAGGGCATCTGCCGTCCACCATGGTAGTACCATACCTTCATCCTCCCATACTACTGGTCAGTAGTTTACAAACTGTCATTTATCTGGGAATATGACTAAGACCCGCCATGATCCTACACTATGTCTATGAAAGCAAGAACTATACCTATCTTTTTTTTTCTCCTGAGACAGGGTTTCTCTGTGTAGCTTTAGCTGTCCTGGAACTCTCTTTGCGGAACAGAGTGGCCTTGAACTCACAGAGATCCACCTGCTTCTGCCTCCCAAGCGCTACACTACTGCCCAGATGACCATGTCTATTTTATTCACACAGTGATTGGCATGTAACAACTATTTGGTAGTAGTCACTGAATGACCAAATGACTGTAGTGTTCTCTTCAGGAGAGATTTATACATCCCGGGCCTGGGTTAGCGCAGCTTCAGGCGCAGAGGCAGGCATGAGACTCTGAAGCTAGTGGGGAGTGAGGTCCCCCTCACCTTCTGCATCTTCAGCATGTCGATGCCAAAGTGAGCCAAGTGCTCTGCCAGGCTCGGGTCCAGGACCATGTCATCCTCGTCATACGAGTACACATCTAGAGGAAAAGGCAACACAATGTGGCAGGGACACAGCTTGGCACTGGCCTATCCACCAACTCTACCTCCTGCCCAGAGGATGGAGACAGCCAGCAGAATCAACCTCCTGGCTCACTTGAACATTAGTGAGACACAAAGCCCCTTGGGATGGACTGTCAGAGGAGACAGGGTCAAACAGGATAAGGAGTGGAACTGTGTTCTTTTCTAATACATGTATGTATCAGTGTGTGCACTGGGGTTGTTTTCTTTTCCTCTTAGTTTCTGGTGATAGGTCTCACATAGCCTAGGCTAATCTCAAATTCATTATGTAGTTGAGGTTAACTTTCAACTTTTAATCCCCCTGCCTCTACCTCCTAAATTTTGGGGAATCAGATGTGCACTAGTGCACTTCCATTCCCAGTTTTTTTTAAAAGATTTATTTATTTATTATATATGAATACACTGTAGTTGTCTTCGGACACACCAGAAGAGGGCATCAGATCTCATTACAGATGGTTGTGAGCCACCATGTGGTTGCTGGGATTTCAACTCAGGACCTCTGGAAGTACAGTCAGTGCTCTTAACCACTGAGCCATCTCTCCAGCCCCCATTCCCAGTTTTGATTTGGATTCGGATTCTCCTGCACCATAAGCTACCACAGTAAGACGGTGACTAAGCAGATAGCAAGGGCTAGGGTCTGTCAAAGTCTTTCATTTTTCTATCAGGGAATGCATGTATGTTATTTGTGTCATAGGAAATGAGTAACTGGACACATTAAGTGGGGAGGGTGGGCGAGTACCGGCTCCGTCGGGTGTGATGGTGCCCAGCTTAACAGCCAAGGGGTAGCCTGTCTCCCTGTAGTGCTCCACGGCGTGGTTGTTGCCCCCACTGCCATCAAAGTAGCGTCGGCCACAGAGGATGGAGCCGTCTGTCAGGTTGAGCCACAGGTTCTCTCTCATGTCACACTTGGAACACTTCCAGCCACTAGCCCAGGGAGAAGAAAACGAGATGAATTGTGGGTTGGGGTCTATGGGAGTGGCGGCGAGAGGGGAGTCTGCAGGCCTCCACCCCACCATCGGTCCAAGAGCCCATCTTCTCTCTTCTGGCTGCCCCCTGCGTTGCTCATCTCCCCACTTTCCTTCTGGGCTTGCTCCCTATCCCTCTCTTCCCAGCCCCCACACAGAGGTGGCCTCTGGGCCCTCACTTTAGGAATTGTGCCCAGAGACGAGATGAGCCAGGTCTCACCAGGGAGGGATCCGAGCAGGGTTGTCCAACTGCTTGAGGTTGAAGGCATGTTTAGACACCTGACGGACTTCCCCATCCCAAGCCTGCACCTCCTGCTTTCGAGAGGCTGAATCAGCTGAAAGCAGAGCTTCTACCGCACTGGTCACCTGCAAGAACTGAGAGGTCAGCCAGGACCCCACCTCTGCCCCACTCACCCTCCTCACCCTCCGTCTTCAGCTTTGTTAGTACTAACCAAGCCGTGACTACGGCAGCCCCTTCTGCCCTAGAATCTCTGGGAAGGGTGATAAGATATGCATACCCGATCTCTGACAATGTCGGGAAGTCCCCCCAACCCATCCCGAGCGATCTCCAGGTAATCTGGCAAAATGACAATCTTCACATCCTCATCATATTCAAACTTGTCCTCGGTGAGGTCAAACCCACCTTCAACACCTGGGTAGGACAGAGAATAAGGAGAAAGTAGGGCAGCTACCATTTGTCGTCATCTCTCCAATTTGTCCCCTCCAGATTTCTGAGGTCACTGATCAGGCTTAGGGCTCTCCTAGCAGACAGCTCACCAATAGCCAGCCGGGTGGGCTTCTTCCGAGGTGGGTCCCCAGTGCCTGCACTGGTGTCCTCTTCTTTCTGCAATGAAAGGAGATTCAGAGGGCATGATGGCGCATGACTTTGTCTTAGCATTCGGGAGGCAGAAGCAGGGTCTCTGAGAGTTCTGGGCTAGCTGAGGCTGCTCAGTGAAGGGTCAGGACCAGCAATGAGCCCCAGGGACAGAAGGAAGGAGGGAGAAGGAGAGCAACAAACGGTTAACTGCACAACATAATGAGGCTGAAACAACAGTCAGGCTTCAGTGACACAGATGAGAGCGTGAAAGGAAAGCAAAGGACAATATGGAGTCAGGGCTGCTGGCTAGTTTTATGTCAACTTGACACAGCTAGAGTTAGCAGAGAGGAGGAAGCATCAGCTGAGAAAATACCTCCATAAGACTGTGGGCAAGCCTGTAGGGCAGCAGTTCTCACTCACTCGCTCTCTTAATTTTATTTAATCTTTTTTTTACAATCCAGATTTTACTCCGCTCCCAGTCCACCCTCTGACTGTTTCACATCCCATACCTCCCTCCTGCCCCCCGTGAGGACGTCCCCACCCCTCCACGGGGCATCTTCTTAATTAATGACTGGTGTAGAAGGGTCCAGCTCATTGCGAGTCCCATCCCTAGGCTGGTAGTCCTAGTCTCTATAAAGTTGAGCCAGACGGTAAGTAGCACCCTCCATGGCCTCTGCATCAGCTCCTGCCTCCAGGTTCCTGCCCTGCTTGAGTTCCTGTCCTGACTTCCACCAATGATGGGTTATGGCATGGAAGTGTGAGCCAAATAAAGTGTGAGCCCATTCTCCCAACTTGGTTTTGGTCGTGGTGTTTTACCTTAGCAATACCCCTCAGAAGGGAAGACACTCAAAACAGGCTCCTTGTGAAATGTGTCTGGGTGTTCCCAGCTCACACCCCATCCACTGTGCCTACCGGTCGCCGGGTCCTCCGGAGGTGCAGGTAGACACGCTGGCCTGTCTTGTTGAAATGTCTCTCCACATACTGCTTCCCAAATCCCAGGAATGTGTTCATGCAGATATAGAGGCCACCCTCAGACTCCTGCAGGGCACAGTGAGTGTGGGGAAACACAAGATGGATGAAGCTTGTCTGTGTGGGACAACCAAGGATCAAGAGTCAGACAGCGTTTGTTTCCTAACACTATGCAGCTCTTACAACTTAGGTAGCCTTTGGGGACATGATAAATGGCTGAATGACTCCCCTAAACTGAATCTGAAAACAGCCGCCAAGCTCAGGAGGCAGCTGAGCAATACTCCTCACACAGACTCTTGAAGTGGATGTTGGCACTCACTACTCAACCAAAAAGGGTCCCTTCACCTCTTCTTTGGCTCAGGAGATCCAGAAAGTAAAGGGGCTTGACTGTCAGGGATTACACTTAGAAGAGACGGGAGAAAAAAGACTACATTTGCATATGGTCAGCAGCCAGCCAAACGCTACCTAATGTCTGGGACTCAGAAAACCTCCTAAATCAGAGGGACAGAGACTGCAGCACCAAGCAGGACAGTGGTCACACCTCTCCTCTGTTACACTCTCTACTAGAGGAAATGCCTGGCTTTGGGGGAAAAACACCTTGTTTGGGACTCACAGCTAAACTTGAAGGTGGTTTAGGTCATGAAGTCCATCATTTTGCAGTCACTAGCTCCTCCTGCCCAACCCCCCTCCCCTGTGAGAACCCCACTCAACTGCCAGAAACCTGCAACCCAAAGCTATCCCTTTTTATTTACTTTCTTTTTCTCTTTTTCTTTTCTTTTTTTTTTTTTTTTTGAGACAGGATCTCCTCCTAGAACCTGGGCTGGGCTGGAACTCACTATGTAGCCCAGGATGACCTACACTTTTGTTCTGTTTCAGCTTCCCAGACCTGGCTGGGGTAACAGGTTTGTTGCCACCACACCCATTTGAGATATCCCGTTTATGAACAATCTGGCAACACTTGCTGAGATAACTAGACAAAATAAAATTCAAGAGGGATAGGGAAGATTAGTGCCCATCCTGAGTCACAGCTGAGGAGGGAAAAGCAGGCTCCCCTAAAACTGGGCCAGTCTTCCTGTGTTTTACGTGTGGTGTCATTGTAAGGTTGATAGAGAAAGTGGGAGAGAAGCTGGAGAAGAATCTTATCTCAGACCCACGGCTTTGAGCAACAGGCATCCTCTTCCTGGAATACAACTCTTAGAGGCCTTGAAATTTTCTCCACCGTGATAGTAAAATTAGGACCATATCTAAGGCAGTTAGTGGACCAGCAAATTGCACTGTACCATTCCCTAGAATCGTGTAGACTGCACTGTTCATTAATAAAATTTTCTCACAACAAAGCTTAACTACACCTTCTTTCTTCCATAAAAAGAACCAGAAGATGATCTGACGAGCTTCAGTTTGTTACTAAATCAAGTAGGCTGGAGATCCCTGGCCTCAGAATGAAAAACGGAAGGCGATGGAGAAATTACAAAACAAACAAGCAAACGAAAACATTATTTTTCAGTCATATAAAGTACTAAGGAGAGAAAGAACAACTGTCTTCTCTTTAAGTGTAAAGCAAGTGTCCTGCTTTAAGTGTTTACAGACCCACTGAAATCTACCTTTCCCTCCTGGGACAAAGGTGGGCACATTCAAGTAACTCTTCAGATGAAAATAAAAGGTGTGGCTTCATCAAAGCTAGAACACCCTGACCAGCAGACTCCCTTCTACCCAGGCCCACTTGTGAGAAGCAGAGGATTATCTGGGCTTTGATCAAAGCCCGGCAAACCAATCAAACCACAAATCATAGGACTGGTCCTCGAGTGGGCATCACATCACGCTGCTATACTCAGCACTGGAGACGCATTAATGAAGCCTTTCCAGTCTGACTTGCAGTTTTCAGGCCATGAGCTGGTCTGGCTGAACGCTCTGGGCAGGGCCCGACAACCGCTAGAGGGGAGGGGTGATGAGGGGGGCGGAACCCAACCAAACTGCAGCCCTTTCAGTTAGGGCCTGGAGGCTTGTCTCCAGCTGAAGATGACACAGGAAGGCAGAATTGCAGGAAGGGAGGTACAAGGTGGAGCCTGTAAAACGTGAAGCACGGTGTGGGTGGCGGCTTTGTCTAACTAGACAAGAGTGGGAGCAAGATGAGAAAGGGGCCTTAGCATCTTCCAAAGAAACCTTCTCTAGGAATACTTGAAAGGGGGTTGTCTCGGCAACCTCTGAAGGACGGAGGAAAGGGGAGGGGTCGCGGCTATAGTTCACTTCAAAGGAAAAACGACTAGAGCTCTCCACTGGGTGTTTTTCCTCCTCCAGACCAATGACCCACCTCCTCATCTCCTGTCCAAATTAACCACGAGTGGAGGCTATTTAACTCAGTGTTTCTCCAAATCAGACTTCTTCAAAGACTGGCATCCTCTTCCAGACTAGAAGCTGCAGGATGCATACATTCCCAACCACAACCCTTGCCCAGAACAGTGGGGAGTCGCCCCTACTCCTCCCAAATGAAACTACAAAACCCGGAGAGCCCTGCGCAACATGCAAGGCCGCCTCCAAGGCTATTTCTGGGAGTCGCCTGGGGGATGTAGTTCGCCGATCAGGTTCCAATTCGAGCTTAGAATGGGAACAAGGGACATCGCCAACTACAGTGCCCATAATGCTTCACGAGACCAGGAATGGGCAAGGCAAGAGCTGTAGCTTCCGGGAGTGGTAGTCATACGACAGCTACAGATAATGAAAAGCAAAAGTAGAGAGGTACGGAGAAAACTACAAGTCCCAGGGTGCATCGCAAGGAGGCGGTAGCCCAAGGTTTGCAGGCCTGGCCGAATGACCAGGGCGATGGAAGTCGTGGTCGCCGCGGGCGTGGGGAATGGGCTTACCGGCGTGTCGAAAGAGAAAGCGCACTCGTCTTTGTGGACCCGGTCTCCCGCCTTGGGGACACGGATCGTCGGTAACACTGACAGCAGCGCCTCTTCACTCAGCTCCGCCATGACACCGGCAGCAGCTCCTCCTCACACAGCAGCTCCCACTGTACCTAGTACCCGCCCCTCCTGCTCTCGCGTCCAATGAGCGCGAGTCGCTGTGCGCATGCGCTAATGGCAAGACGCGCGAGATCGGCAGTTGGACTCAGCCTGCCTCCTGGAGCTCCGCCCTCTGCCCCCACTCAGCGAATGCCAATAAAAAGCGCTGCTGGTACAACTGATGGTCGAAGGGACCAATCCTGCTCTTCCAGGGCAAGCGATCATGTGGAGGCACCAGGGGGGCTCGGAGTTGCAGGTGCTGTGATTCAAGGACTCTACAAGAATGCCTTACGTGCAGAGCAGAAACTGTCGGTTGTTCAAACTCATTGATTACTGAAACTTTGCCAAGGACTCGTCTAATCGGAAAGCAGAGGGACACTTGTCTTCTTGGCATTTGAAAAGCAGTAGTCAATGAGGCCGACTTTGAGATGTGTGATAATTCTGTCAGCCAATAAGGATGGCTGTTTCGCCTTAGGCAAACCATATTAACTCCGTCTCCAGCTGGCTTTGTGCATATAGTGTAGTAATTCATTCTATTTTGTTTAATAAAACAAAAGCTGAGTGGTACCCGTCAAGTCGACTGCTGACAGGCAGATTCCAAACAAAAGTCCCCAGCTCACTGAGACACCACCGGAGGGCAAGCTAGTCCTCATCCCATTGGCCAGTCCTCATGATAGACATCCTTCAGACCAATGGCTTTCTGTTCTGGAGGGCGCTTTTTCCACAATTGGCCTATGAGAGTCTGCTTCGGCTCAGCCAATAGGGTCAGGGCAGGGGGGCGTGGCGGGAAGTTTGAAACTCCAGGCTTTGGGAGTTGTTTCTCGAGCTGGTGTTCGCCCAGAGGTCGAGCTGGGGCCCGGTAAGTGGTGTGAGTGAATCAGTGGTTAAATCTGAAGGCTCCCGCAGACCTGAATGCTCCATTAAAAATCAACACTCATTATTCCCGCTGAGGTCTCTGGGCCAGCGACCCGGAGGTTCCTGTGCTGGAAACTGGGAAGATCGGGTGGGTCTGGGGTCAGAGGTCCGACACGGAAGCAGTAGGCTCTGAGAGCCGAGTCTCTTCTGACGGACGTCCCTTCCTCTGCATCTGCACAGCCGGGCCCCGTCCCCAGCCCTAGTGGAGATGGGTTCTACTCAGAGCGTCTCAGGCACTCCAGCACGGCCTCTGCCACACAACAAGCATGTGGCTCGAATAGCAGACCCTCGGTCACCTAGTGCTGGCATCCAGCGCACTCCTATTCAGGTATACTGGGCTGGGGTGGGGAATGCAGGGAAGCTGTCTGGATTCGTGGGCCTCTGCCTAACTTGTTTCTGTGAGTCCTCATCTCCGCTGCCACTGGAACATTACTTTCTCCACCCCTCTTCCTTTGATTACTTATTTTTTGAGGTTCTAATATAATCTCATTTCTGCCTTTCCCTTCCTCCAAACCCTTCCATATACTCCTCCTTGCTGTCTTTCAAATTCATGATCCCTTTGACAGGTGGAGAGCTCTCCACAGCCAAGCCAAGCAGCTGAACAGTTGAACAGTCTCAAACAGGCACAAGACCCAGATCCCCGCTCTCCAACTCTTGGCATTGCACGGACACCCATGAAGATCAGTGGTGCAGGCAAGTGACGGGCTTTGGCGACACCTGTGGAACTGACACCTATTCTAGGGTGCTGTCGCAAACGTTTCTGTTTACTGGGTTTTTTGTTTGTTTGTTTGGGTTTTGTTGCTCTGGGGTTTGAACCAAAGGTCTTAAGCATGCTAGGGGGGCTGTATCCTCCTGGTTTGGACCTTTCTCCCTTAAAAACACTTTCTTAGATTGAGTGTGTTTGTGTGTGTGTGTGTGTCGCACGAGCACACACCTGGCACAGTTCACATGTGAAGGTCAGAGGATAAGTTTAGGGAGTCAGTTCTCCCTCTACCCTGTAGCTTCTTGGGGGTCTGACTCAGCCCATCAGGTTTGGCTGAACAAACTCCTCTGCCCACTTATCTGCTGTTTTTGTCTTTTTTTTTTTTTTTTTTTGTAAGCCAAGGTCTTCCATTGTGTAGCCCAGGCTGGCCTAGTACTTAAGGCAATCCTACTTCAGTACTGGGAGTGCTAGAATTGTACTCTCGTACTGCTGCAGGGGTACGCGTGTACTACCATGGCCCTAGCCTGGCTGGGACGCCGCCCAGTGTTTACCTCTGTCTTCTTCACATCATTTCCTCCCATCCTGGTTTGACTCTTCCTGTTCCCCTTCCATCTGAGCAGGAGCCCCGATGCCCCTTTGTCTTCCCTCCTTGATTTGTGTCAGAAAGCTGCAGCTTCTTTCCCTTCTTTCCTCTAGACCCTCCGTGCCCAGTGGTGAAAGAGCTGAGCGAAGTATTTGAGACTGAAGCATCCGAGTCGATTTCCTCCCCAGAGCTTGCTCTGTGCCAGGAAGCTCCTTTATCTTCTGAGCTGGACCTGCCTTTGGGTCCTCAGTTATCCCTCGAGGACCAGTTGCCACCTTGGAGCCAGACTGAACCGGATTCCAAGCAGGTGTTTACCAAGGAGGAAGCAAGACAGTCCACAGAAACCATAGTTGCCAGCCAGAACTCAGACAAGCTTTCCAGAGACCCAGAGACTCCCCAGTCCTCAGGTACAAAGCAAGATGGAGGGAAGAGAAGCTAGAGTCGCATTCTGGGATAACGGAGGAGGAGTAAACTGTAAGCCCTCAACTCTGAGTCCTTACTTTAACAAAAGCTTTCTTACCACAGGTTCTAAGCATAGTAGACGGAAAGCAAACAGCAAGGCTCTCGGGAGGTCCCCTCTCACCATCCTGCAGGATGACAACTCTCCTGGGACCTTGACACTACGACAGGTAAAGGAAGACAGAGTGAAAATTGTCACCAAGTATCTATCATTATGGGCTGGAGAGATGGCTCAGCAGTTAAGAGCACTGGCTGCTCTTCCAGAGCACTGGGGTTCAATTCCCAGCAACCACATGGTGGCCCACAATAATCTATAAGGGATCTGATCCCCTCTGTCATGCAGGCATCAAATGCATATATATAAACAAATCTTAAAAAAAAAAAGTATCCCTCACGAAAGTGGGAGGCCTCTTTCCCCAGCTCTTGCCTCTCCCTAACTGCCCCTCTGGCCCCTCAGCTCACAGACCACCTTTTGCAGGGTAAGCGGCCTTCCGCCCTAAGTGAAAATGTTAAGGACCTAAAAGAAGGAGTCATTCTTGGAAATGGAAGATTTCTGAAAGCTGGAGGAGGAGCGTGGGAGCAAAACCAGGACCATGACAAGGAGAATCAGCATTTTGCTTTGATGGACAGCTAGATCTGTGCTGGGTTCTTCCCCGAGGCCACTGAGGAAAGCCCTGTTCTCTGATTCCTCTCAGGCTACCAACTCTAGTACTTGGACATCATTCTTTTACGTTTTGTGTGTTTCCTGTATATTAAAGTAGATGATTTTAAATGACGCTTTAAGAAGTAAGACCAAAGCTGCCTGGGAACTTCTGTGTGTAGAATGGCAGCCTGGAGGCCTATGAGACCTGGATAGATATCTCTCCTGCCACTTCTGAGCCTCCTTTATACTGCTTAAATTCTGATGCTCCCCAGGGCTCCACCCTTGTTCCTCCTCTCCTCTTCCCTCTTGTTTGGGTTTAGCTATTGCTTACCTGCTTGTAATTTTCAGGTCCTCTCTCCGTATTCCTCATTGCCTATTCCTGTCCTGATGGATAGAGAAAGATCGTCACCTACCTAACTGCTCAAGCCTACAGCTCAGCTTTGGACGTCATATTGAATATGACATATCTGTGAGGTTGTCACTAGATCTTGCTGATTGTATATGTTTAATGTCTTCTCCTCCCCTGCCTTGCCTGAGAGTGTGTGTGTGTGTGTGTGTGTGTGTGTGTGTGTGTGTGTGTGTGTTTTCCTGGTGAGTCTGGTTCCCCTTGACTCTCTTACCACCTGCCTCATCCCTCAATGGGCCCCTAGAGGACCAGTCTCTCTTTTCACTTCACCGCCATAAGCTGTTGTTAGGGCAGTTTGGCTGACAAGCTTAATGAGCATGGTACCGCCCCACTTGAAACCCTTTAATGGCCTCCAGGGCCCTTTCTCATCCGACTCCTACTCTTGCGCGCACACATTCTGACTCTAGTCTGTAGCATTCTCTTAGGCCTCCACCGCTCGGCCTCCTCAAGAGACCTCAGCTTCTGTCCCCTGCCCCAATCCTTTCTGCCCACATCTATCTAGTACCTGGCCTTATTCCTAGCACTTGTAATAGCTTGTGGCTGGTTAATGGGACCCAGGACTTCTTGGAGCACAAAGGGCATGAAAGCCAGACATACAGAGGTATCAGGATGCTACATTTTATTAGGTAATAAGAGAGAACAAAGGGCAGTACTTGGGAAGCAGAGGCAGGCAGATTTCTGAGTTCGAGGCCAGCCTGGTCTGCAGAGTGAGTTCCAGGACAGCCAGAACTACACAGAGAAACCCTGTCTCGAAAAGCCAAAAAAACAAAAAACAAAAAAACAAAAAACAAAGAGAGAACAAAGGGGCAGGAAAGGAGAAAGTGGCAGGAAGGGCGCCAGGAAACTAGGAGCGACATCCTTAGTCATGGGCTGAGCACTCTGGCCATTCCTGGTTTGGACAAAGGTGGCCCAGGGGGACCCTAGGGTGGGGAAGGGGTCCATTCTTTTTTATTAGGGAGAAGCAGTGAGGACTGTGGAGGGGAGAGGCCATGGAGGAAATGAGGCAGTTCTTGCCCTTGTGTCCCTCATGCTTCCAAAGGCACACTCCCATAATCCCACCTGCTCTTAAAAGGAAATGTACTGAGAATGGCCCATGGGGTATAGAAGACCGACCCTAAGGAGATGGGGCATAGGAGAAGCCAGCTGAGAACCTTCACGGCTTCCCACCTCTTCCTCTAGCCTCCTCAGTTCCAGATTTTGAGGAAGCTGTCCCAGGAACCAGTGGCCACAGCCATTCCATCAGCTGTGACCCCCAGACAGCTGACTCTGTTGTCATGGCCAGAGAGTACACCTGAGGAAGAGAGAAAAAAGTCAGCCTACTCCACCATGATGTGTGAGGGTCTGTGCGAGCACAGACGCCCTGGCTTCGGTGGACTAGACTGCCACTGATGGAGACTAAGGAACTGAAGGAGGATTAGCCCTGAGGAGAGGGATTTCTTGTCAGGCCAGTTCCTCCACGAGAACTTGAGTCACTGGTGGGGCAAGGGTAAACTGATTAACAACGTCAGTATGCTGTGAAGACGGCCAGGCCCACTTTGAAGGGCCCAAAGGAGTCCTTTGTTTCTAGGTTTTTTTTTTTTTTTTTTTTTTTTTTTAAATAAATAACTTTAATTGTATTGGTTTTATTTGTGTCTGTCTGTGAGCAAATAACTCTTTTTTTTTTTTTTAAAGATTTATTTATTTATTTTATTTATGAGTACACTGTCGCTGTCTTCGGACACACCAGAAGAGGGCATCCAATCTCATTACGGATGGTTGTGAGCCACCATGTGGTTGCTGGGATTTGAACTCAGGACCTCTGGAAGAGCAGTCAGTGCTCTTAACCGCTGAGCCATCTCTCCAGCCCCCGTTTCTAGTTTTTTTTAAAAAAAAAAAAAAAAAAAAAAAAAAAGCAAGGCCCAGGGTTGTGACGTGTATAGGGGACCTCAAAAAGTAAGCAACTGAACAGGCCTTGGGGCCTGTCTCGGAGGTTATTTTATTCAGCTCTTGGTCTCTCCTGAGAGAAGGCAGACTGTCCTTTTCCACTTTAGACCAATTCTAGACAAGCCCCTAGGCTAGCCCGGACCCTGATGCTCTGCATCTTCATTTTCTCTCAGCCACACGTCCCTGAGATCGTCCCTTAATGTATGGCCCTGAAACGGCAGTACTGGACACTTAAGGTGCACAGGTTTGGGGGTGACCAGGAGCAGGCACAGCCTTAGGCAGAGGAAGAGCTGCTTACAGCACTTTCTGGTCAGGGAACGTGGTATTAGTTTCAGAAGCAAAGGGTGTTGGTTTCCAAGGCTCCTGTCAGGCAACAGGGATCAGCAGTGAGGGGGGTCCCCATGACAAGAACTGAGAGGGAAAAGGGAGGCTGGTGCGTCTGGAGCAGACCCTTACCTACACGCTCACACTTGAGAGAGTCCCAGACATTGCAGTTGAAGTCATCGTAGCCCGCGAAGAGCAGGCGACCACTGAGCGAGAAGGCTACAGACGTGATACCACAGATGATGCTCTCGTGGGAATAGGCAGTCAGTTCCTGGTCGGCCCTCAGGTCGAAGAGGCGGCAGGAGGCGTCATCTGAGCCAGTGCAGATGGCCTCCCCGTTGGGAAAGAACTGAGGACAGTTAGGAAGTGGTCAGTGCTCAGACCTGGGGCAGCCTTGCCTTCCTGCCTGCTTCCTGGCTGCCACTGGGGGAGTGTAAGCCACTTCTCTCAGCCTCGGGCTCTGTTTCTTGGTAAGGCGAGATAGCCAGCTGCATTGAAGTTGTTCACTGCTGTGTTCTCGGAGTTCCTGCCCATGACTCCAGCACCGTCCGTAGGCAGGCATGTTGCATGCTCCCATGTTACAGAGAAGAGAACCAAGGTCTCCCAGGGTCATACACACACAAAGATGAGATTCCTACTGCTGCTACTCTTAATGACTAGATCAGGGTAGAACATAAGGTCCAGGCATATCACCTGAACATCATCACGAAAAATAACAGGTATACTCTGAGGAGAATTATAGAAAACGTGTATCCTCGCCAAAAAGATGTAATGTTGCCAGGCAATGGTGGCGCACGCCTTTGATACCAGCACTTGGGAGGCAGAGGCAGGTGGAGTTCTGGGTTTGAGGCCAGCCTGGTCTACAGAGCTAGTTCTAGGACAGCCAGAGGTATATAAAACTTCCTCTTAGGATTTTTTTTTTTAACTTGACTTAGGGCTGGAGAGATGACTCAGCAGCTAAGAACACTTGCTCTTGCAGAGGACCCAAGTTCAATTGCCAGCACCCACATGACAGCTCATACCTGTGACTCTGGTTCTAGGGAATCCAACACCCTCTTGCCCTCCAGGAAATATCTAAGGGGCACAGAGCCGTGATATAATGTAATCTACTTAAGAACTCAGGACTAACTAGCGTGTGGCTTGGTGGTCGGGCACTTGCTTAGCACGCAGAAGCTCGGATGGGAAGCTCCAGCCCCACACACAGGACAGAGGGAAGGATCTAAGAGTGGGTGAGTGTGTGTGTGCGTGTGTGTCTAGAGACATGGTAAAGCAAGTGTGGCAAAATATTAATGGTGAATCTCAGAGAAGTGGACATGGGATTCCTTGTCAAGCTGGTTTTGAAACTATCCTATAAGGTAATATTTTTAAGAATTTTAAGGAAAGGGCTCGGGCAGTGGAAGTGGATCAGAGACAATGCACTGGGGTTTAAGGTAGTTGCTGAGTGGCACCCGTGGAGGGACACTCACACAGATGGCATTGATGTCTGACTCATGGCCAGTGAAAGTCTGACGACAGCTCCCTTCCCTCACGTCCCAGAGCTTGGCGCTGGCATCACAAGCTCCCGAAATGAAGAGTTTGTAGTCTGGGGACACAGCCAGGCTCATGCAGTCACCAGTGTGTCCCACAAACACTGTCTTCTGCTGCCCCGTCTCAATGTCCCACAAGGCACTGCCAGGAGAGAGGGAGCCCCATCACAGAGAAATGTCACAGTTGCCCAGGACAGGGTGACCTTCCTCAGCACCCAGGGTATTCAACCCTTACCACGTGGTGTCCCCAGAGCTAGTCACAATGTTGTTGTCATCCAGGAAGCGGCAACAGGAGAGATAACCTGGAGGAGGATAGAGGACAGTGCCCTGGCTCAAGGTCCTGGCCATCACCGGCCAGGGGCCTGGACTTTCTTGACCCTCTACATATGGGAAGAGGACTTCTCACCTGTGTGAGCAGAGAGTTCCCGGCTGACCTTGACATTGCCCTCCCGGGACTTGAGGCTGTAAATTGAGCACATGTTGTCCAGCCCCCCACATGCCACAAAGTTCCCTGACGGCGCATAGGCACAGGTCATCACCCAGGAAGAGCGCAGTGGGATAGCATGCACCTGCAAGGGAGGTAGATTTGGGGCAGGTGGGACCTGTGCTTCAGCCAAACAGGACAGAGATTAGGCATGACATCCCCAGGAAGGATGGAGGGTCAGTAGGAAGGACCGGTACCTTGTTGGTGGTGTAAGTGTCCCACACGATCAGTTTCCCGTCTTGCGAGGCACTTACCAGCAGCCTGGAGAAAAGGGCACCCGTGTCATCCGTCCCTCTTTTTCCCTGCCTCCCCACCCCCCTTCAGGCCCCTCTGGATCCTCACTTAGAGTCAGTGGCCCAGTGCATGGCATAGATCTTGGCCAGGTGTCCCCTTAATGTCCTCCGTGTCCGCATCTGGACTCGTCCCACCACCTCCAGGCCAGACACGAGCTGCAGAGAAAGGGGTATTGGGTTTCACAAGTCTGCAACAGCCCCTGCTCCGGATGAGCTTCTGCTGGGGAGCAGACACTGGAGCAGATTTCCCCAACCTTAGAGAAAGAGGTCCCTGGTCTAGAGTGACTGAGCCTCCAGTGGTAGACAGGTGCTTGGGTAGCTAGAGGCAAGTTGCTAAACAGTTTATTTAGTAGGTGTTTCCAGATGGAAGAGGAAGAAGAGGAAGCAGGGGAATCTCTAAGATGGAGATGTTCCTACCTTGATCAGTTTCAAGCTGCTGGTATGAGGTCACTAAACATAAACGTGGGGGAAGAAACACACGGGTGGTGTTGGACTGGTAGGGGCCTGTTCTCACACTCCAGTGGCACCCAGCCGTGGAGCCATCGCCTGGGACTGCACCCACTGAAATCTAGTCCTCCACCCCACACAGCCACAAGCAGCCTCCTAGCTGTTAAGCCTACGGAGTCTGCAGACTTGGTCTGCCATGCTTTGTCACCTTCAGCAGATCGTCACACCTTTCCCTGAGCCTTTTATCTTAGAGTTGCCATGGAGATCATATAGAATTATATAGGTGAGCATCTTTGTAATGTTTACTCTTATGTACAGATTTAATACAGTGGATTCTGGTTATCTTTTTTCCCCTCAGTACTGTAGATTGAACCTAGGGCTAAGAATTCTGTTACTGAAGTATATCCCAGACCAGACCCTTTCTTCTTTTTTCTTTCTTCCTTTTTTTTTTTTTTTTGGTTTTTCGAGACAGGGTTTCTGTGTGTAGCCCTGGCTGTCCTGGAACTCACTCTGTAGACCAGGCTGGCCTCGAACTCAGAAATCCACCTGCCTCTGCCTCCCAAGTGCTGGGATTAAAGGCGTCCGGCACCACTGCCCAGCTGCTTTTTTTCTTTTTTAACATAATATTTCTATTAATTGTTTAATAATTTCGCACAGACATTTTGGTCACATCTGCCCCACACCTCCTAACTCCTCCCACGTCCACCCTTTACCTCCTACCGCCACACAACGTCACATCTTCCTTTTTGAGATTTTTTTTCATAGCTCAATTTTTTACTTTTTACTGCGAGACAGGCTGGCCCTAAACCCACTCTGCAGCTCAGGCGTGCCTTGAATTTTCAATCCTGCCTCACTCAGCCTTTCCCGGTGGCTATGTCACCTGACATGGCTTGGGCTATCAATTCTAAGAAACAGTAGTGTTTCGTGTATCACCAAGAAAGAAACAATAGGCTAATAAGGTATCATGTATTGTTAGGTGCATCTCAATTCTAGAAAAATCTGTGACGAAGCACGCATCTTAAAATCAATGAAATGTCACCTTAGACAACTGTCAATTCAAGTTTATGAAAAGTCCTGTCCCCACCCCCCCAACCCCCTCCATCCTCACTGCTCAGAATGAAGACCAGTGTCTAATGTCTTTCATATCCAACATAATGGCTGGCCTGGAGCAGATCTTAATAGGTGTTTGTTGAATTAATTCATGGATGTTTTTCCTCATTTCAAGGACAGGATGTGCTAAAAGCTCAGGCAGCAGTATGCTGCAGGTCCTGAAGTGCTTGCTCAGTCTCTTCCCCTCCTATCGCGTCCTGCCTCAGAGGGGCAGAAGGTCTCACCTCAGCCAGAGTGATGTCCGCACAGGCTTTCCTGGCATCCTGTGGGGAAAGCGGGCATCAGGGAGGCTAGGGTAGGGTAGGGGACATACACATGCGCCTCACATATGGGGCTCTGCAGTTGGGAGGTGGTCTCAAATGTGAGGTCCAGATTTAAGGTCTCTGAACCCTTCTAGATCAGAGGTTTCTAAAGTGTCACCCAAGAGTGACCCCAATCCCTCCCAGGCCACACTCCCACATGTCCTGAGTTCTGGTCTCCAAGGTCCCTAGGATGAGGGCTCTGGGGTTACAGCAATCTGCTTCTTGAGCTGCTCCGCCTCCTGCCTCAGCTGCTCCATCTCCCCCATGGTGCACAGGTCGAGGGGTAGTTCTGGCTCCTGCCAGGGACACGGAATAGGTGTTAAGGAGTCCCTGTCAGACCATGTTTCTGTTCTTTCTATCCTGCTATACTCCTGTGATGGGGGGGCTCTCCTTCCTGGGTATCAATCCCAGCCCTGCCTGAGCCCTCCCTTTGGGCCCCCAATCCCAGAGGGCAGAGCCGACCAGCTCCCTCTTACTTGGGCTCTGGCTGGACTTCTCCCAGGTTTCCGCTTCCCAGGCGCCTCCTCACTGTCTCAGCTGCGATGCCTGCCTGTCACCTGCCCCCCTCTGCTGCCAGAGGAGCTGGCCTGGCCTGGCCCTGACTGGGAGGGGGTGTGTGGGGGGGGACTGACAGGGAAGGGTAAGGCCGGCAACAACCACGCCAGGCAAATGAAATCAGCTGGCAGGGGTGGGGGAGAGGCCAGGAGGGAGGTATGTGGCTTCCAGAGACTTGGGCCAGCCTGGAGGGGTGGGGAACAAGCCTGTGAACCAGAGAAGAGCAGCACGCCCCTATCCAGCCACAAGAAGGGGGGAATAAAGGGGTGCCTCCACGGTCAGTCTGCCGGCAGAGATAAGAGCATCAGCCCACAGATCAGAGAAAAGCTGTGAGGATTACTGCCTGGGTTTGGGGAGTAGAACAGGAGCAGCCCCAGTTCCAGTGACCCCCCAGGCCCTAGCCCCAACTTGTGGTCATGATCTTGGCATTGTGGGCCTGTTCAGCAAGCAGGCCAGGAGCCAGGACGGGAGGGTGATAGATGACCCTGTTGTCAACACCGCAAACCATGTTTCCTCGTTGAGGGCTGTGGGGGAAGAGGGTACAGGCAGAAGCTGAGATTAGAAGGGACTGAGCTGGATAATCCTTTTTCTCGACAAGCCCCGACCAGCTGCCCCTGGGCCTGATCCTAGTTGGGGGAGTTGACAGGGGATCCAAGGGGAAGCTGGGCCCATGTCCCCACCCCCACCCCCCCCACCTTGTGGGCAAAGAAATGACTACAGAAGAGAACAGAACTCGGTCCTGCTCCCAGGCTGAGGGTCTGTCTTCACACTTGCTCACATGACTCCTGGGATCTTAATGGACTGTAAAGGTAGAAGCCAGAAGGCTCAGACCTCTCAGGGAGGGATGACAGGGCTTAGAGCTGGAGGCCCACGGAGCGGCTGTGGCGGTGGTGATGGGGCACAGGGGGCCTATTTGCATGAAGCAGCAGGTGGCTGAGATTTCCCTGACAAATCACAGGCTCTCATGGCTCCACCTCTGGGAGGCCCCAAGATACCACCTGCCTCCTCCCAGGCCTAGCCAGCACCACCTCCAGCAGCCAGCAAAGCTGGGATATAGCAGACCAGGCCCTGACTGGGGAGTTTCGTGTTCTTTATTGCACAGGTTGGGAGAGGATGGGACTGTCTCCTCTGTGTGTTTCTTAGTAGAAGCAGGTGGTTGCCATGCCTCTGGGGAGGCACAGTGAACTTTGTCCTAGAGGACTTGCAGGTCACTCCGCTGGGGCCAGACCCAGCTCTCAGCCTTGATGTGCTCTAGGCTAAGTCTGTGTAGCAAGCTTGTGAGTCCAGGGTTTGGTGGCCCTTGTAGGTCCCCGAGATGGTAGACTCGGCATGCTACTATGTCGATGATGTCATCCAGGGCCTTCTCATCACTTCCTTCACAAGCTGAGTGGCCATATCTTAAGAAGCTGCCTCCGCCATTCACAGTTCCTCTCGGACCCGGAGTGGCTTCCCAGTTTTGTCTTGGACCCCCTGAAGCTTGTGTCTTGGGGGTTCTGGGGAAGAGTCTGTGCTGAGAATTTCTTCCTCTTCCTCTTCTTCTTCCTCCTCCTCCTCTTCCTCCTGCAGCAGTTCTCTGGCTTCTGTCCACTCCTGGGAACAGAGAGAACTGTGGTTCAGTCCTCTGTATCCACCTTTCCTGGGTTATCTCAGTCACCCAAGAGCTTTACTGGGAGCCTCACCCACTCACAAACTTGAGCAGTGACCACTTGCCCACCTGCCCACCCTCCTCCCCTCTTCCTCCCTACCTGTTCCTTGTGCTCAGGTGCCCAGGTGTGCCACAGTGCTAGGGCACAGCGCCGTCCCCGTGTCACGGCCCATACACCATGGGGGTTCTCACCACCGGAGCTGAAGGCCACGAGGCGCCCACATCGAGGACGAACCTGAGCCTGAGGGGTGCAGGAACACAGCTTCAGACTTCCTGCCTCTATCACTCTTCACTCCCTGACTCAGGGACTAGCCTGGGGCAAATGAGAAACTGGCCCTAAATCAGGAAGGAAAAATGCAAAACGGAGGCCGTGGGACAGGGAAGCCAAAGCCGGCAGAGCCTTCTGGAAGGTCTCTTATAGGTTCCCTATCGTAGAGCCTGACCTTTCCTACCTGACTCCATGAGATTGGAGAAGAAATCCAAGGGCCCTACGACAGCACCAGAAGGGATGGAGGGAGACAAGGGCCTCGGGTAGATGCATTTTTACCCTAAGGAGCCCCTAGATTATACATGCGTGCATAGAAGGCAATTGCTCCTTCCTGTTCATGCTTTAGGGTGAAGAGTAAGGCAGAATTCCTCAGGCTAGCCCGGAACTCCTGTCTCAGCCTCCCTAATGCTAGGATTACAGGTCTATACTACCATGCCTGTCCCCCTTCCTGCCCATTTCTAGACCCGGGAATAGAAGTCTCCATGATCAAGGAGAAGATGAACAGCAACAACTAACATTCATTGACTGTTTATTAATACAAGGTACTGGCTCATTCTTTTAAGCATATTATATCAATTACTTTTTATGGTGGCAGAGAGCTGGCTCGGGGGGTAACGACGACGCTTGCCACCAAGACCAACAACCTGAGTTCAAACCCTAGAAGCCACATGGTTGAAGGAGAGAACCAGCTCTTACAAGTTGTTCTCTGTTCTTTACACGCGTGCTGCAATGGTGTGCACCCAGCCCTACACCCACCCCTTACACACGCACATACAGATGCACATATAAAATTACTTCTCGTAGTGCCAGGAAGATGGCTTAGTTGGTGAGGTGCTTGCTGTGCAAGTGCGAGGACCCGAGTTCGGATCCCCGGAGCCCACATAGAAGCCATGTGAAGTAGCTCATGTCTGCCATCCCAGCACTCCTAGGTCCAGGTGTGAGGCAGAGAGAAGAGGAAGGCACCTGAAGTTGTATACTGATCACTACACATGTACTGTGACATGCACACATCCTGGCATGTCCACACACCTGCACGCCACACGGTATGTGTGGGCAAAGCCAGGCATGGTGGCACACGCCTTTAATCCTAGCACTTGAGAGGTTACAAAAGGTAGGTCTCTGTGGTTCAAAGCCATCCTGGTCTACACAGGAAGTTCCAGCCAGCCCTGGCTACACAGTGAGACCCTGTCTCCAAAAACAAAAAGAAGGGAAGACCAGCTAGTCCGTCACTTGTCTATAATCTCAGAAAGCCACAACAGGAAGATTGCTGTAAATTCAAGAGCAGCCTGGGATAGCTACCTAGTCAGTTCAAGGCTAACCTGGTCTATGTGGCAAGATTCTGTAAATAACAACAAAAACAAAAAAATAATACCAATGTCAACAATAATAGGTACTATTGTCACCCTTAGTTAGGAAAGGGAGTCTCAGAATTGCTAAGAACTCCGATATAAACCCTAGTCCAATGGTCCTGTCTGTGCCTGTGCCATTAGCTCCATTGGGGCCTCGCCATGGGGGAGGTAGGGTTAAATCTTCAGATCCCTAGAATAGGGCTCTGTGGGACCCCCGTAGGCTGTGTTTCACTCTCCTTTTTTTTTTTTTGTTTTTTTAATTTATTTTATTACTGTATTTCATGTGCATGTTTTGTCTCCATGTATGTCTGTGCACCACATGCATTCCTGGTGCCTGTAGAGGCCGGAAGAGGGTGTTAGATCCCCTAAAACTAGAGTTAGAGATGGTTGCGAACTACCATGTGGGATGCTGGGAACCAAACTTGGTCCTCTGGAAGAGCAGTCTGGTGCCCCTAACCACTGAGCCATCTCCAGTCCGTCGTTTTGTTTTTGTTTTGAGGTTTCACTGCTTTTGTTGGGGTTGGGGGTGAATGTTGCAGCATGGTGTGGAGGTCAGAGGAGAACTGTGGAGACTGCTTCTCTCCTTCTCCCATGTCAGTTCTAGAGAGAGCAAACTCTGGTTGTCAGGCTTAGGGGTATGCACCTTTACCCACTGAGCCACCTCACTGACTGGTGTTTTGTTTTTGTTAGAAGGTGTTTTGGTATATTGTTCAGGCTGGCCTTGAACTCCTGGGTTCGAGTGATTCCCCAACCTTAACTTCTTCAATAGCTTGAACTACAAGTGTATATCTTTTACCTAGATATGTTCAACAACCCTTAGGAGGTAAGGCATACCATGAAGGCAGGGTGGGGGACCACTTAGAGATCTGTTGGGTTCAATCGACCTCTGCAGAAAGCCTTGAACACATAGCCAGTAAGACTAGAGAGGTGGGGAGAGACAGGGTTAAGGTGGCCCCAGCCATTTCCCTGCATTTGCCTCTGGAGAGCTTCTGTTTTGAATCCTGACCCCACAGCTGGGCCCTCTGCCCCAGCCTCCTACCGTGACAGTGAGAGCGTTGGGCTGCGTGAAGAACAGGTCGCCTCCCTTGAAGTCATCATTGAGGTAGAGGAGTCCACTGGAAAGTTAAAAAGGCAGGAGACAGTGAGGCCCCCACCCAGCCCCAGGCCTGCAGCTACACAGCCTTTGTGCCTTCCTGCGCCTCCCTCAGAGAAACTGACTACTCACCTATAGTCTCGATAGGTGTAGGCTGGGGGCTCCCGCCAGCATTCACCTGTGTCGGGGTCCAGGACACAGTTGTCTGCATGCACCGGGTGACTCAGGTCCATACGCTGCTCTTGCTCACCTAGGATGTACATGGATCTAGTGAATGAATCAGGATCCCTACCACGGGCCCCCTGGGCTCACCCCACCCAGATGCCCGTAGCTCCTGGGGTGACAAATAAGCAGATGCTCCCTGCTCCCAGTGCGGCCGGTAGGGGGCGTTGTGCAGTGAAGATTGGGGCCAAAACTGGGCAGGCGCAGTGGGGTTCCCTGGCGGTTACCTTCTATAGCACTTCGGCACACCAGGTGGGTGAAGGAAAGATGCAGTGGCCTTTCCGGGGAGAAGTAGGCCTGAGTCAAGGTCCGTACTCGCTCACTCACCTCCAGAAGCAGCTTAGCGCCTGGCCTGCCCACAGTCCCAGCCCGGGCCAACTGCAGGCAGGGAGAGAGAGAGGCCGTGGAAAGTAGGTCCCTGAGGGTCTCTGATACTACTCTTCTGTGTGGGTCTACAGTCTGTCCAACAGGTCAAGCTCCTCCTTCCGTGGACTCCATGACAACACCAGGACCCCAGGTCTCTGAATACAAGTCTCAGAATATGTGATCTAGGTCCCCAGAGAATTCCTCCTCAGAAGCCCAGGCCTGGTATCCAGCCTCCTGACATGGTGTCTCTTCTCAAGCCCTGAGCACCAGACCAGTCATGGGGTCTCCTCTTACCTGAGCAGCCTTGAGGACCGTGAGCCCCTCAAATCGTTCATGGGGACTGTGAGGGGAGCGGCGGCCACGGTAGCCTGACCTGGCTCCAGCCTCAGCTGCATCCTAAAACAGAAGGGGTTTACACTGAGTCACTCCCGGCACACCTTGCTGCCACATGACCAGGCTCTGCTGAAGGCCTGTCCGGTGCCTGGAGCTGGATAGAAACTTCCAGAATCCCCTTGTGACTTTTTCCTGAGCTACAGTCCTTTCCCAGAGAATGGTAATTGTCCTGGTTGTCTGGACTGTCACTCTCTAAGAAAAGTTCTAGAATGATACTTACCGAAGGGACTCTGTGGCCATTATCCTAGAGAGAGTCCCACAGGGGGAAGAAGGGACCTCGAGATAGTAAGGGTGGTTGAAAGAGAGACAGCTGGGGTGTGGAGAAGGAAGTTCATCACCCTTCCCTGGGGAAACAGGAGTCCTGCAAGCAGGACCGTTACATAGTCTGACAGGCCAGTTCTGACAGGAAGCGTGAGGTGTTGAGACATCGCTGATCTTGTCCCACTGATGGTTATTTATTTATTTATTTATTTATTTATTTTGGAGACCCTATGAACTCCAGGACTCCACTGCCTCTAACGCCAGATCGCTATTGCCACCTGC